GGTCCACCCAAGTACCTGAATTCCATGGAGCCAGAGCCGCCTTTGGGCTGTCCACAGCACAGAGAGGTTTTCAGTGTTTTCTCTGGTAGCAGCAGGGCTGAGAAAGCAAGAGCTGGTTGTTTGCTCAGACTGGGATGATTGGCTGCTGGAAGCAGCTTGTGCTCTGTTGGGTCTCATGGACGTTACAATCCCCCCTTTTCAGACTAGAAGCTCCTTCTCAACATCTGTGCCTCCCGTGGCGGGTTCCACGCCGCTCTCCATGGCGGGCAGAGCTTTTATTCGGGATAACCGGTTTCTAAAAGTGCAAGCGATTTACTAAATTCAAGCCTGGCGGCACCAAAGATGATCGTCCTCTTCCAACTCACAGGGGTTTTGGCAGCTATCGTTTTAGTCACCCCTTTTGCTCATCCCAGAACGCAGTCGGTGCCACACCGGACCTCATGACCCTCCTCAAATTCCCCAGCAGTCCCTCAAGGGTTGAGCCGTTCACATTGTTTGATGCCTTCGGTCGCAAACAGCTCTATGTTTGGGTTGACGCCCGTGAAAAACGATGTCCTGTCTTCTGGTCAAAGGCAGGGAGGGACAGTCCGTTCCTTCTGGATGCTTTTCTTCTGCCTTGAGAAAAGGGACTGTTGCCTGCAGCCCTAGATCTAAAAGGGTGTTATAAGGAGGAGGGAGAAAAATTGTTCTTCTTGGCCTCTGAGGATAGGACAAGAAGCAATGGACTGAAAGTGCAGCAAGGGAGGTTTAGGTTGGACATGAGGAAAAGCTTCCTGCCAGGGTGGTTAAATTGCCCAGGGAGATTGTGGAATCTCTGAGATATTTAAGAGCAGGTTGGACAGACGCCTGTCAGGGATGAGCTAGTCCAGGGATGGGCAATCATTTTTGACTGGGGGTCACTTCAGAAATTTTTGAAGTGGCCTCGGGCCACCCCAGAAGGGGCGGGGCCTCAGGCAGAAGGGGGAGGGGCCAGGACACTTCCATGCTTCCCCGCCCACCAACCCGGATTGGTCTGTGGGTGGGGGAGTGCGTGAAGTCTTTGCCCCTGTGCCCTCCCCAGAGAGAACCACCCACTGTTCTGAACAGCTGGCGGTTCCCTCTAGGTGCCCAGGCCCCTGGTGGTGGGAGGAGAGTTCCCAGGCTAACCCACCCCCCAGCCAATCAGGGCTCGGGGATGGAGAGAGGGAGCGTGCAGAGTCTCCTCCCACCCTGCAAGGAGCGTGCGGGGCTTAGAAGCACTGCATCCCTTGCAGGGCATGAGGAGACTTCGCATGCTCCTCCCACCCCCATGTCCAGCCCACGGAGGCCCTTTGCACACCCCTCATCTAGATGGTGCTTGATCCTGCCGTGAGGACTGGACTCAATGACTCGCGAGGTCCCTTCCAGTTCTATGATGCTAAGACTCAGCAGGTCAGGACAAAAATGTTTGCGATTGCTCCGCCTTAGATGAGGCAGCAACGGAGTCTCCTCCCACCCTGCAAGGAGCGTGCGGGGCTTAGAAGCACTGCATCCCTTGCAGGGCATGAGGAGACTTCGCATGCTCCTCCCACCCCCATGTCCAGCCCACGGAGGCCCTTTGCACACCCCTCATCTAGATGGTGCTTGATCCTGCCGTGAGGACTGGACTCAATGACTCGCGAGGTCCCTTCCAGTTCTATGATGCTAAGACTCAGCAGGTCAGGACAAAAATGTTTGCGATTGCTCCGCCTTAGATGAGGCAGCAACGGTATACAGACCTGCTTCAGCTGCCACACTGGCTGCAGGTCTGTCTCCATCGTCCCTGGGTATTTGGTCTCAGACACAAGCCAGGAGGCCCCCTCTAGACCTGCAGGCTCTTCATTGGACAGCAAAGGCCACTGGACTTGGGTCTCAAGCAGTCGCCTTCTTTCTGGGTACAGAACGTGCTTCTCCCTACTAGAAAACTATCGACGAGAAAGTTACCAGCTCCAACGAGCTGCACCCGCCACTTGGGTGGGCGGAAAGTCTGATTCTCCAGTGGCAGCTTCGGCGCCCGTGTTTCGGAGCATTTAATGCTCTGGAAGTTGGAGTTCTTCTCTAAGGGTTCATCAGGTTGCTCTTTCAACTTGCCACGCTTTGCCGGAGGGACGAGGGTTATTTGGACGTGACTCGGTCAAAAGGTTGAGGGCGGGGTTATCTAATAGAGACCCTCCTTTAGGGGTTCTGTGACAGGTTTACAGCCACTGCTGCAGGGCCGCTATCTTTGCAAGGATGTTGCTCGGGCTTCCCTTCTTTGGGTTTCCTGGTGGACTGCACTTGGTGACCCCCTGGGGGACCAACCTTCCTTACCGTGGGGGCTATGGGCGTGGGCATCTGCAGCTCCTCCAGTGTTTCAAGCAAGGGACCAGACGGGAACTGCCCAGAAGAGCGTGTGACCCGTTGGGGGCGCATTTGTACATGGACACAAATCTCCTTACAGCTGCTGGGGAGGGGAGCTGCATTGTAGTTTAGCCTGGCAGATTTCTCTAGCTCAGAAGATGAGGGAGAGCGCTGGGAGGGGCAGAATCTCCTGCAGCTTCAAGATGGTCCGGAGTCGCAGAGGACGTTAGGGGGTCGACGGGATGGGTCTGCACCTGGCCTTCCATTGGATGAGAGCTCTGTGGCAGAGTCTTAGGGCCGAGGAAGGATGTTATGCCTGGTCCCGTTGGGCTAATCACGGCTGGTTTCAACGAAAGTAGGTTTGAGGAACCTGGTTATCAGACCAGGATAAAAGCTAAATGGGTCTCAAGGGAACTGTTGTTGCTGAACCAGCACACAGCAATAACACGGCCATAAACGCACAGAAAATGAAAGCAATAAGCAGTCTGATTGTTGTTTGTGAACATAGCTGGCGATTAGTACGTGGTGTCACGAGTGGGGTGGGATGGGGCAGGTCAGTTATCTCCAGTTCTCTCCTATCTGTATTTTTCTCCGATTATTTGTGCGAGTGACTCTGCTTTCTCTTTCGTGTTCAGCGCCCTTGGGCGAGTTGGGTCTGATGCTGACCCTTCTGCACACAGCTCCAAGGAACCTGGGTCTGTTCCTTCCATGCCTGGCTGCGCGGGCCAGACGGAGTCTGTTGATGTTGCCCCGCTCAGCTGGCCCAGCCTGGAAGCTCCTTGTGACCAGGTCCCAGACTTCTGGGGAGTCCCAGAGAGAGTGCTGAGGCTGTTGCTCCCTGAATGTAGAAGAGCCAGGCAGGGCTGTTGATTTATTTTAGCGGACGGTGGGGTGATGGGGGTGAGACAGTGAGATACAACCCAGACTAGTGGAAGGAGCCTTTGCGTGCCTTAAAGTAGCTCCCACCTGGCTCACAGCCTTCCAGCATGCAAGGCACATCCCGAGTGTCTGTGTGTAACTGCAGTTTGCCAGCTAAATTCTGGCTCTCACCAACCATGGTTACACAACAGGGTATAAATATACATCCTTTTATTGCCCTCTCCTGGACAGTACTAATATTTTAAGTCCTTTATTCTTTTTGGGCTGGGTCTAGACTACATCCCTCTTTCGACAGAGGGATGTAAATTAGACACTTCGAAATTGCAAATGAAGCCGGGATTTAAATATTCCACACTTCATTTGCATAATCGCGTCATGGTGCACTTTCAAAAAAGTGCCATTTCGAAAATAAAACCACGGTCTAGGCGCGGGTCTGTGGAAAACAGCAGCCTTTTTCGAAAGCTCCCGTACTCCTCAAAAAATGAAGATGGCTGTGAGCGGCCCAGGTGGGAGCTACTTTAAGGCACTCAAGGTTACTGGGAAGGGTGATACCAGCGCCTCCTTCCACTAGTCTGGGTTGTCTCACTGTCTCACCCCATCACTGCTCAAAAAGTGAGGAGTACAGGATCTTTTGAAAAAGCCTGCTGTTTTCGACAGAACTGCGTCTAAATTGCAGTTTTACTTTCAAAATGGCGCTTTCGAAAGAGCGCCATTACGTGATTATGCAAATGAAGAGTGGGATATTTAAATCCCGGCTTCATTTGCAATTTTGAAGTGTCTAATTTACATCCCTCTGTCAAAAGAGGGATGTAGTCTGGATACAGCCTAAGGGAATAACATAGCAGCATATTATCATATATATAGTAGCCCAATGTCTGTGACTCTGTAACGCTGAAATGCTGGCTGTTGCCCCTGGGCAGCGCTGTTGCCTGAGTCATGTCCTTCGCCTCCCGCCGTGGCACTCAGCTGACTTCTGTGCTGCTCAGCTGGGCTGCCGCGGGGCAGCAGGTGGCCATTTGGGCTCCCCCGTGGACAGGGGCAGATGACCGTTTTGCGGGACCCCGGGCAGCATAATTCCGCGGGGCCCCCCCTTTGCCACGGTGCATGTACAGTGACGTAATGCGCATGCGCAGCGGCACCACGACGCATGCGCGGGGCTTTCTGAAGTGCGGGGCCCAGGGCAGCCGCCCCGTTCGCCCTGCCCTATATCCGCCCCTGCCCGTGGAGGCCTGGCTGAGCAGCGCAGAAGTCAGCCGAGTGCCACGGCGGGAGGCGAAGGGGGTGGGGCGGTGACAAACACGGTGAGGGAGCGAGGCCAGGACAAGCATGCATCTCCGTCGGAGACAGAGGAGAGCAGACCAGCCATTTGCACTGCTTGCCCCCGCATGGGGAGCACGGAGCCCAATGGCTGTTTGGGCTCCGCGGTCTCCCGAGTGAGAGTCAGGAGGGGGAGGAGAAGAGAAAGAGAGAGACAGAGAGAGAGGCAGGAGGCAGAGGAGAGCTGAGAGATGGGGAGGCAGTAGGAGGAGGAGAGAGAGAGAGAGAGAGACGTGGAGGAGAGACCCGAAAATCCCGTCTTATGACAGGCTATTGACTAGTCTTAAACAGAGTTAACCAGACACTTAACTCAAATGCAGTGGATTAGATAAAACTGTAAACCAAGCTTATTAACTACAGAGAGGTTTTAAGTGAGTACGAGTAACGAGGCATAGAAGGCAGAAATGGTTACAAGAAAAAATAAAGACAGAACACTTATTAGTGACTAACGACAGATCATATTAGATTCAAGCAAAATTTCTCACCCCATTCTTCCAGCTACATTATTGAACAAACTCTGAAGGGCAGCAAGTCCCTTCCTCAAAGTTCAATGATTGTTTCCTTTGGTTTTCTTAGGTGCAGAAATGCAACAGCCATGGAGTATGAAAACGGGTGGTTTTTTCCATAATTCTGGCCCCCGTCTTGAAAAAAGAAGTTTCCAGCTGAGAACGAGGAGACAGAGTCTGTGTGGAAGGTTGTTCCATGCTATTTTATTCATCTGTTAGAACTGCCTCTTTTTCCCGTTTGTCTTGATGACTCTGTTACTGTTTAAGTGAAAATGAAGAAAAGCACAGATCATTTCCCCAGTTTTGTGCTACATGAGTCTGAACATATATTTTTAAAAACATTCAGGGAAATATTATAATCTCAGATAAAACGTTACCACACCTATTTTTCCAAGACAATACTGATCAGCAAATTATGAGTTTTCAGTTGATACCTTACAAGGCATACTTTGTATAAAGCTTATTACAATACCATGAAGGGTGTGAATACGGGCTATATTCCATCATAATGGGGTCACTAAGTATTCAGCATATTTACCTCTTCCTGATGTTATCACTTCATCTTGTTCAGGGTTCAGGTGCTTTCATCCAAGAGCTGGTGTCAACCAAGCAGAGGCTAGTTGTGAGATGGTTCTATTGGTGTGGAGGGTAAAAGAGATGGGTTATTTTGGTGCAATGCTGGCATTTTACTAGGAGTGTCTCAGTGACTTCTTGTTAACGTTAAAAAGATGGGAGAGATGGTTCCAATCTTGAATCCTTTCCAATCTGGCTTCTGATGTTTTCTCTATTGAAACCACTTTCTGAGGGCTCTAACAATGCCTTCCTGGCCAAATCTCATACATTTGAGTATGTCTTCACTACCCACTGGATTGACAAGCAGCGATTGATCCAGCAGGACTCGATTTATTGTGTCTTGTATAGACACGATTAATCGACTGCCACCAAAATGAGGAGAGTAGGTGGAAAATGGTTCATTGTCTGAGACACTGTTGGAAGGGATTTCGTACATTTATACAAGCACCAGGAATATTGTGCTTTCTGTTCTCACCTCACACACCACACCACACACCTTGAGGATGACCTCAGAGGATGGGCATGCGGAGACCAGGGATGAGCTCTTCCTGGAAATCCAGGATCTCCTCGGGCCTGAGGACCCTGGGGCCAGCCAGAGGGCAACCGTGGTTCCTGCCCAACTGACCCGGATTCTCTGACATGGCTGAGAAGGCAGAGTCTGTGCAGGGAACCTGTCTACAAGTATCAATCTTTACTGTTTATTACGAATATCATTGTACCACCCGGCCATGCAGATGCCCCTGCTAACCCTTCCAACACTAGCTGAGCACCTCCAGTGCACACGGAAACTGCCAGACCAGACCAGGAATGTTATTCTCTTCCCTCTCCACCCTGACAGCCTCCCAGCCCTACAGCAAAGCCAAGCAGCACACATTGCGCAGCCAAACACACCAGTGCAGCCAGCCCGTCTCACTACCTCTGGGGTCTCTCCCCAAAAGAATTTTCGATTGGCTGCAGGAGTGGACCACTGCCTCCATGACTGGCAGCTCTCCCAGTTGCATGGGCTTGTGATCAACCTGCCTCCTTGTAAACAGGAGAGTCTCTCTGACAGCGCCAGGGTACAATCTAGACAAACGAGTAGCTGGGCGTGATGGGGCAGACTAGGCCCCAAAGGCCCCCGTTTGTGGCCTTGCCGCACCCTGCCCCAGAGAGACAACAGAGAAGTCCTCCAAGCAGGCTAGAGTGGTGGCAGAAAAAGCAGCCAATCAGGGATGAGGAAGGCCCTATAAAAGGAGTTGCTGGATCAGAGTCAGTTCAGTTCCTCTGGAGACCTCAAGTTGTGAGAACCGGGCGACTGGCTGGCTGAGAGAGTGGCACTGAGGTGGGCCCCTGTTCAAGGTGTACCCTGAAAGGGATTTGTGAGCTGTGCACAAAGAGGCTTTTAAGCTGAGTTGCTGAAGAAGCTTCAGAACAGGAGAGTGCCGCATGCACACGTGGCCAAAGGGAGGCGCTTACAAGGAGTGGGTGTCACCCCATTTAAAGGGACAGGCCTGACAGTGCGTGGCCATTGTGGCCTTCACTCCTGCACTGCTCGCAAACATCCTCTAGCATGTGAGTTACTCCCAGCAACGTCGGTCTCCTCTTAGAGCCCGTCAGGCACGCTCAGGTTTTTACCAGCCTTAATTATACGGCAGGGCACCCTGGCATGCTCCCAGCCCGATTTGCCCACAGAAATGTACGTCCTTGTATGTCCCAGCCACATCCTGCATGATCGATGGTCATAAGAGGAGTTATTTTGTTAATCTAAGCAATAGGGACAAATCCTATTATCCCAAACAAGAAAAACCGGATGACATGGACCTAATTGCCTAAATTCACATGCTTGGCTAAATTCAGAGCAGAGTCTCTCTTTGTTGGGGTATGTCCACACAGCGGTGTTACTTCGGGATAACGTCCGTGACCCCAAAACGGCGTTTTGCGCCGTCTACACAAGAAGCCAGCTCTTTTGAAAAACGTTTGAAATAATGGGCCGTGATGGAGCGGATTGTTAGCTGGTGGTGCTTGTGAGCAGGGGCGGCCTGTGAGCCTAGGCAAACTAGGCAGTTGCCTAGGGCGCCGCCGGCCCGGGCGCCTAATGATGACACGGCCATTGACGGCCATGCAGGTGGGGGCACCGATCGCGCCTTCCACCTGGGGCACCAGCTGCAGTCGGCCTCAGGCCGCACCTGCTTGCGTGTGAGGACCTCACAGTGTGAGCCGCCGCAGTGTGTGGAGGCTGGCAGTTTGGCTGCTGGGTGTGGCAGTGAAGGAAGCTGTCTCGGTCGCTAGCTGAGTGCCTGAGAATAACCAGGGGTGCTGGGACAAAGCAGAGACTGTCTCCAGTTGTCTGTCTGTGTGTGGTTTCTTCCCGGTCCTTTGTCTGAGGGAGGTGCCCCTCAGCCTATGAAGGCTGAAAGCAGGGCTGTTGTCCCAGAGAGGGGCCTGGATATGGCTAAAGCCCAGAAAGGGGGTGGCCCTAGGTTTGGGTCTGCTGGGGAGAAGGATGCTGTGACTTGGGTAGATCCCAAGCGTCTTGCCAGGATGCCAGAGATCAGATGGTTCTGGTGCTTGTATGTTACTTGAGGGACAGAGAATGGTTCCTACGCGTGTGTAACGGGGCAGGGAGCCTTCAGGGTGCCGGTCCAGAGAGCTACAAAGGGAAGGAAAAGGTCTCTGACCTTGTATCTCCTGAGTCTGCCTGTGTGCCTGAAAGGGGATTGTCTAGGAATCCATGTGAGGGGCCAGAGATGATTCAGGGAGTAAAGGGATTGCAGGAGTTGGTGACAGCTGAAGAGAGTAAAAGCTCCTTCTTCGGGGAAGATCAGGAGAAAGCCCGGCCTGTACAAAGCAGCCGTTTATTTCGTGAGACGCTTGTTTCAGTGCCTGATGGGCAGAATTTATCTGTGAACAGTGACTCCGCCGACTTGGATTTAGAACGATCCAGTGCGGAGGGTTGTGGAGAGGTCTCCGAGGGACTGAGGATTGTTTCAGATGAGGCAGAAACAGCCAGAGAATTGGAACTGTCTTGTGACAATCAAATGACTGTGTTTGACTAGCTTACTGGGAAGTCAGTGTGGTTAGGACCAGAAATTGGCAGTGTGAACGCTCTCTTGCGCAAAAAAGCTCTGATGGCCATTTTAGCCATCGGGGTTTCTTGCGCAAGAAATTCATGTTGCCTGTCTACACTGCCCTCTTGTGGAAGAGCTCTTGTGGAAGAGGGCTTATTCGTGGTGGGGACAGGAATAACTCTTCCGGAAGAAGCCCTGTTTTTCAACACTGTACTGTAACTTTACTTGCACAAGAACACACATGCAGTGTAGATACCCAGCCAGTTTTTGCGCAAGAACAGGTGTTCTTGCGCAAAAAGCCTGCAGTGTAGACGTAGCCTTAGATTTTAGATTCTGAAGGATTGGCCAAGTGTGCTCTTGTGGGTAAGATCCAAAGTGTAAATTGACCAGGGATCTGTGGCTGGTCCTTTGGGACCAGAAAGACCCATTTGGGGTAGGTGAGATTGGGTTCCATAGCCCCTCACCTGTGTTAGGCCCAAGGCTGACGGTGGCACAGGGAGAGCTGGAGTATGAGGGGTTTTGCTTGTGAGGCTTCCTGTTGGCCATATTGGCAGCTGAAGTGCTCAGTGTGACTGGTGTGTGGCCTATTTGGGAAGGGCCTGTAAGGAGCCCTGTTTTTGAGCAATTCCCCCTGAGCAGATGCCCTTAGCGATGCCCAGACCTGGCTGGTCCATCACCCGGGCGCCCCATTCCGGCATCCTGTAAACCTCGTTGAGCCAGCTCCAAATCTCAAACTGGGCTCTCTCTTGAAATGAGCTACGCAAATTGCACAGCGTTGCTTATTTAGAGCTAGCGCTGCTGCGAAGATGCCCCCTTCCCGGCCAGACTTCTTGTGCAAGGAGCCCTTCTTCTGTGTAACGGCGGCTGCCTCTGTTCCTTCCGGGTCAGCGACTCGTTGGCTAGCGAGTGAGCAAGGAGGCACGTTGTCTCTCTTTCCTCAGCTCTCTCCCCCCTTTGAGGGGCATTTCCAGCGAGGAACCTCCGGGACAGAGACACTGGAATGTCAGCCGAGTGCTAAGGAGACTTACCTGCCCCAACAGTCACCGGCCAGAGGAGGGAATCAATCAAGCATTTCCAAGTCACCTGAGACACAGTTGGGAGCCCCCATGCGCAATGGCACTGCCTGCCCCCGTGGCCGAGCAAGGATTTTTCCAGCACTAAAAAGCTGGAGTAGAAACAAGGGGAGCGGGGATACCTCTTGCTCCCTGGTCTTCTCTCTGCTCAGGTAGAAGGGGGCTCAGGCTGGAAGAAGATGCACTGCAGTGGATGGCGAGACGAGTTGAGCAAGGCCATTCCTAGGCACGTGTGAAATACGCAACCGTGTAGGGCACCCAAGCCCCCTCACAGACGCGTGTGCTGCTATGCCTGGGGACGGCCCGGTCACGGCCGCTGCTGGCTCCGCTCCCGCCCCTGCTCTGCAGCTGCTCTCTCCTGCCAGCAGCAGGGCTCCTCCCTGCCCCCGGCCCCTCCCCCCAACCACATGCTCTTCTCAACCAGTAGCATCTGGCTGCTAACTGAAGGCTCCCTCCGCAGCTCCACAGAGACAGCTGCACCCCAGTAGAAGCAGCACTGGGGGGGGCGGGGGAAATGGCCCCAAGTGACTGCATGGGGAGACTGGGCAGAGGGAAGCCCCAAGCCCCCAGCAGAAGCTGAGTGAGGGGCACCAGCCAGTGGCAGAAGCTCTGCGGGGGAGGGGAAGCCTCTTTTGCATAGAGCCTTATAATTTGTAACCATCACCCTGACTTGGTAAAGTTTAGGAATTGGCTTGAGGCTTTATCTTTTTACTCCTGGTGTCACCAGGTCTGACCTTTCACCTTCTCACTCACAAGCAACCTTGCCCTCAGAGGCCTGGGAGATCATTCACATATTCAGCTGGGAGGGATCTTGCCTGCTAGAGGTTGTGTGTGAGCACAACCTGCAGGGGTGAATGTTCTTCATTAAAGCAGCGTTAGGGTATGTCTACACTACCCCCCTAGTTCGAACTAGGGGGGTAATGTAGTCACATGGAGTTGCAAATGAAGCCCGGGATTTGAATTTCCCGGGCTTCATTTGCATGGTCCCGGGCAGTGCCATTTTTAAATGCCGGCTAGTTCGGACTGCGTGCCGCGCGGCTACACGCAGCACGAACTAGCTAGTTCGGATTAGGCTTCCTAATCCGAACTAGCTGTATGCCTCGTGGAATGAGGAAGCCTAATCTGAACTAGCTAGTTCGTGGCACGTGTAGCTGCGTGGCATGCAGTCCGAACTAGCCGGCATTTAAAAATGGCGCCGGCCGGGATCATACAAATGAAGCCCGGGAAATTCAAATCCCGGGCTTCATTTGCAACTCCGTATGACTACATTAACCCTCCTAGTTTGAACTAGGGGGGTAGTGTAGACATACCCTCCGAGACATCCCTGGTTGGAAAATTGAAGGGGACATAGAACTTCAACTGTTTGACCATCTGTGACATTCCCCAGAGCATGATCCAATCTGTGTGGATGGGAACTTTAGTGTTTCTTTCTACAGTGTAGCAATTTTTTTTGTCCAGATCATGTTTCCGACCAAAGAATTAGCCCACAGATTATGTTGACACCTGGCTGGGACATCAGCTTGCCCTTTGTCTGAGAAACTCCTCAGATTTGGAATATAGTAACCCTACACAATAGAATTTTGCAATTTTATATACAAATGTTGCCAAACACACTTTACCAGGACAATAATGATCAGCAAGTTATGAATTTTCAAATGATACCTCCAAGGAATGCTTTGTACGGCGGTTACTACAGTTGTGTGCAGGGTTACAGTCTCCTACTCCCTCTGTCTAGGATCGCCATGGGTTTTGTAGACCACATTTTAGCATCCCTGACAATATATGCCTTGGGTGTTTCCATTTCCTGTGGGATTGTTTGCTGACTGCTCAGACCTCTGCACCTCAGGTTCCACCCGATTGCTATGGCCTTCACCCTTCCTCACAAATATTGTGCAAAATGCAATGTGCTGCTATAGTCGTCGGAATGTTTTTCTTCTCTGGGTTCCAGCCCATTCTACAAACAGCACCCCCTCCCTTTCAAAGAGCCAACATACACTCCACTACCACTCTGCAGGTACTGAGGGGTCCTTTCTTCTGTCCAAGCTGCCTGTGCATGGCTTCACTCACCAGGAAGCAGAGGGTACACTGGGTTTCCCAGGATAGCTGGAGCAATGCCCACACTATTAACGTCCATGATGTTCTTGGGGGCAAGCAGTCCTTTTTCCAGTCAGATCAATAGGCCTGAGGTTGAAAAGATCCTAGCACCATGGATGCACCATTCAGGTCTGTAAATACACCAGGTGGCCAGCCAGGCTGTGGAGCACCAGAGACAAATCCCCTTTCTGTGTATACATTTGGCACTGGAGGAAGGGGTGCCAAGGAGGTGGCAAATAGGCACACGGGGTCCATCACTCGTCCCGGCAGAGTTTGGGAGCCCATGTGAGCAGAGCCAGCAATAACCTCCTGAGTTATAACCGCTCCAGAACCCGGTGCCACGGGACCGGTCCATGGGCACCACCCACCCGCATGACTACGGCACTGACAATCGACCTCCATGTGCCAAAGTCATTTGCTACATACTGGTAGGATTCAGGATTGGTGGGATCCCAGATGGCCATGGCCACCCAATTGTCCATGGGCATGGCCCTCTGGTCGCTGCCATTGCAGCTCTGGGGTGACGCCAAAGAGGGGTGCCTTCTCCGTCCTGAAGTTCTCTCACCGCTGGTGGCCACTCCAGAGCTCCAGAACAACCCTTCCCCACGGGCCTGCGCCGGATTCCGGAGCCCAGAAGGGCGCTGCTTGCCGGGACGCTGCTCCAGCTGCCCCTCCTCTCCTCGGCTGCTCAGTGGCCTCCTCTTTTCCCTTCTCGCCTCTGCCACCTTTGCATTCCCCCCTGCTGCTGCTATCGCCACATCACCGGGCAACGGCCAGAGCCAAATTCAGTCACACGAGCCCCAGCCCAAGCAGCTGCAATGAATTTGAGGTTGCCAGCAGAGCTGCCCAGGACCCTCGCTGGCTGACAGCGATTCAGATAGGGGGCCAGCCTGCCCACAAGGGAAGCCTGGGGCAGAGACAGCAGAAACATGGGACTTTTTTTTTTCCAGAAAAAATGGAGCCCGGCTGGTGCGTGCTGCATATCCCACAATTCCCAGGGACAGCCCTAAGGGAATGCCTAGGGCTCAGCTGCAAGGCAAAGGCCCGTGGGAGGCCGCTTGCGAATGCTGCGTGTTTAGCCCCCAGCAAGCTCTGCCGGCTCACACGATGTGAATGGAACGACAGAGCCGGCGCCCCATGGGCACACTATTAGTGCGGCTGGACTCTCTCGTATTGTTCAGCATCCAGAACGGGGCCACGCAATGAATCCAGGATGCTGTCCACTGCTGTTACCCGCTGGATCAGCTGTTCTCGGTGCCGGTCAACAAAATGCGTGTCTGCATGGAGGGGAGAGAATGAATTGGGAGGGTGAGCATGTTTGCCAAGATAAACACTCACATGTCTCTGGGGAGTTTCATTCCAGCGCTCTCGTATTGTTCAGCATCCAGAACGGGGCCACGCAATGAATCCAGGATGCTGTCCACTGCTGTTACCCGCTGGATCAGCTGTTCTCGGTGCCGGTCAACAAAATGCGTGTCTGCATGGAGGGGAGAGAATGAATTGGGAGGGTGAGCATGTTTGCCAAGATAAACACTCACATGTCTCTGGGGAGTTTCATTCCAGCGATTTGCAGTCTGCACACAGAGGGGTGGCTCACCCAGTGCCAGAATGCGGCCACCTCTGGGGTGAGGTGTGGCAGGGGGGACAAGCACCGAACAGGGATTTCTCCACCCAATTTCTTTGCTTCAGAAACAAGAAACTGGCCTCGGAGAGAAGAGCTGATTGAGAAACTGACGTTTGCAGCTCTGCGAATCGCTACTCACCTGTTGGGTTCATGGTGGAGGAGACAGTGGGCATCAGGTCAGGGAGTCAGCAGATCATAGATCATATGAGCCTTTTCAGGCTTGAGACACGCTGAGGACCCAGAGTCACTAAGCTCAGAATCCAGCCCTGACTCTACGGACATCAGTGGAGTTGCTGAGATACAAATCTGAGCTGACTCTGTCCCTGAAGATCTTGCTCGTAACGCCCCCGTCGCGAGAGAAAAGCAAGTGCAGACGCTGCTGAGCGTCTGAATGCGGGAGATTCACTCCACTCTGAGGTGGCCGACAGATGTGAATGCTGCCAGTTCCCATCCTGTGATTGGCCCGAGACAGTCCATGGTCCAGAGAGCAAAGTTATTATGAGGCACTGGCTGGTGTATTCAGGGAAGGAGCCGAGTTAGTCTGTACGGGATAAACTTCAACAACAAATGGTCTGGTAGCACTTTATAGACTAACACCACATGTAGATGGTGTGATGCGTTTTCGTGGGCACAGCCCACTTCTTCAGATGACTGGAGTTTTATGTATGTTTATGCTCACATATGGGGTGTGTTTATGCTTCTGTGCCCTCTGCTGGAAGGACTCAGATCTGTTCCAGTGTGCACCATAGGCCCGGATGGCCAGGTTATGCACATTCACACAGTTCTGTGAACCAAATAGATCGTGTTCTTCCCAGCGTCCTGCTCACCCATGCTAGGCTGTGTCTCCCGCCAGACCCTAACTGTGGGAAACCCAGTAAAGAACCTGTCAAAGGTGAGATGAATTCATTCTCTAGCCAATGCAAGCTTAGCAGGGGTTCTCCTGGACGACTGGTTTGGGATGCGGTGTTCAAACTGAGCTATGGGGAAGTTCCTAGGAAGCAGACACACAAAGGGGCACACACTGGGGGGTTTGACTCACGCTGCAGGTGACACGCTTTTCGCTTGTAAACAACCATGTTACAAATATGGCCAATGGGAGGGGGTATCTGGGCAAGGTGAATGTGGTGAAAGCCCCTCCCGAAAGGTCACATTTGACTTCTTTTGGTGCACTGAATGGTCTTTAAACAATAAATATTTGGCTAAATTGGATTATTTGGCCTCTGGAATATTTTCCATAATGAACCACGTGAGTAATCCAATAATTGCTTCACAATAATAATAATAATAAATAATGATAATTATTATTCTATGATTCTATAAATTATTATTATTATTATTGTTTCCCTAGGTGGGTGGGGAAGCTCTGGGATGGGTTTCCTAGGGAGGTGGTGAACTCTCCATCCCTAGAGGTTTAATTCCCGGCTTGAGAAAGCCCTGGCTGGATTGATTGAGTTGGGATTGGTCCTGCTTTGGGCAGGGGGCTGGACTTGATGACCTTCTGAGGGCTCTTCCAGCCCTAGGATTCTAAGAACTAACTACATTTAGCAACAGGCTTTACACATGACGGGACTCGGCTTCACCTCTGGGGTGTGCCACAGCCGAACGTGGGCATTATCTTCGCAGTCCCCCTGCAGTTCCCAGGGTTCCCCGGTTTGCAGCAGCAGGGAAGCTGTTCTGGGCAAGATTTAGGGCCATAATTGCGAGGTCAGTCCCTCCTGCCTCTCCCATCTAACTGCCTGGCCCCCACACATGCTTCCTGCCTCCGTGTGCGCTGAAGGCGTGTGCCCGACACAAATATCTCCCCCTGCCAGGCTGGGCCTACCTGGTCTGAGGACGGCTTCCCAGATCGGCTCCACATCATTCTTCTCCACCAGGCTGAGCTCCAGCTGGTTCTCAATAGCCTTAGTGTGGATCTCTGTGAACGGCTGAGGGGCGTCCGCGTGCGTGTTCAGAAACGGCAGTTCCTACGGGAAAACCAAGGGTGCTGTTGGGGGAATCTCCCACCTCCACCCCAAGCAAGCAGGGCCGGGAGAGGGCGAGGCCTGTTTGTTAGAACGTATCACTGAGGACATGTGCAGCTGCAATGCCTTCACCAGCCTGCCCCCCGCTGCGGGCCCAGGTTTGGAAATGTTCAGCGGCTACAGCATGGGACCGGTGGGCAGCCGGCGCGTTATTCCCTGAGTTCTGTTCAGCACTTGGGCTCTGTGATCGGTGACATCAGCAGCATACTCCCAAAGCCCTTGATTAAGCAGGGTCGGTATCATTAGGCCCATTTTACGGATAGGGAAACTGAGGCACACAGCCAGCTAGCATGAACAGAACCAGGAAGCCCCATCCCCAGGACTGCTCTAGCCACTGTACCACCCCCTCCGCTCCCTGCGGCACAGTGACCGGACAGTGGGGCAGCACAGGCTGCGAGGTCACAGTGCTCCTGCCCACTTCTCTGCAGCACAGCGCCCCTAGCTCCAGGCTGGAAGACTGAGTCAGCAGGGATGCCCTGGGACGGAGCCCCCCCCACTGCTGCCAGCAGCACAGGTCCCCGAGCGGGGCAGCAGCGAGTTGGGCTCAGTGCCGATTCAGAGCGGAGAGGGCTCTGCCCGGACCCCTCCCGCCCAGCGCGCCGGAGCGCCACGTCCACCATTCTACTCACCTTGGGCGTCACCGTTATCGCCGATGGGCTGGACACGGCGCAGCAGGCACCAAAGCACAGGGGTCGAGTGGTGAAATGGGACTTAGACACAAACCTGGAGCGGCACTTGTCTTCATAGGCCTCCACTGCCTGGGGACACAAGCAGAGTCAGGCCTGGGCGCCACAGAGACACCCCGCAGCGGCCCCTCGGTCAGAGGTGCCAGAGTTCCCTTTCCAGTCTCTGCTGCCGCAGCAGCCATGGCGGGAAGTTGCATGAACGTGCTGCTTGGTTTTAAGGTCTGGACTGGGACCTTGGGAGAAGGTTCGTTACTGGCAGGGTGACAATAATGCAATGTGCTGCAATCGATTTAACACAACCGATTTTACCCTCTCGTATAAACTGACTGCAAGCAGAGGGCATATCGACACTGGGAAATTATTTTGAAATAACTCCCGAACCAACTATTTCGAAATAGCCTGTCCACGTTACAGGATACCCACAAAATTAGTCTGAGGCAGGCTCCATTAATACGGACACGCTGCCTCGACTGAGAGCCCCCGGAAGCCACACCCCCTTTAGCTTACTGGGCATGCTCAGTCGGCTCTAATATAAAAGAGCAGCTCAGCTCAGTTGGGGCTGGCAGCCGGAGGGAGAGGACGTGCCATGTTAGCTCCCTGCAAGCCCCAATGCTCACCCAGAGGACAGGACGTCTTGAGACCTCGTTGGGTTTGGGGAGAAGGAGCAGTACCCAAAACACAGAGGGAGGTGGTGAAACCGAAGCCTACCCGTGAGCCAAGCAGCAGGAAGCAGCCCCGGCGCAGCAACAGCAACCAGGGTGAGTGAGCTGCTGGCGAGGAGTCTGTGTGGTGCCGTTTGGACTCCTCGCTGATTCCGGAGTGTGAGCAGGCCACTAACAGGGCCCTGTTGTGTGGGAGGGCCTAGACCCCCTTGCTGGGGGATCCGTACTTTGCTCTTACCGACTAACTCTAACAAACTACTCCCTTCGGGGTACAACAGGACTATCAAACGGTATTGTCCTGACCCCAGAGGGAAACTATAGACTTCAGCCCCGGGTCATGGGGGGGGTGACACTGAACTGAGCAACCTGAGAAAAGGGGGTGAACACTGGAACTCAACCCTTGGGTTGCTTTGGGGAAGGCTGCTGGATGGGCCCTCCTATCAATAGGGGTGAGTCAACGAGCTAATTCCCATGGTGACGAGGCCGCCCTGTGACATCCCTGCACAAGTCGGCTGCAAAGCAGGAAGCCACATCCCCCCTCTCTAGTGGGCTCCCAGCCCTGGGAACCATAAACACCACCTGGCTTCCTCAGGCCTCTTCCTACACCCTGCCAGCCCTCTGGCGTCTCCATGATTTGCTTCCCCTTCGCCCCAAAATGCTTTTATTTCCCCTCCCCCAAAACAGGCCCGGTTAGTTCCAGGATTCTGCTCCGTCCAGTGACTCTACCTCTAATTCCCTTCCCTTGGGGAGGTAAACCCCAGCCCTTGCTATTGGCCAGCGCACCTGCTGGGGGTTCTCTCTACAGCCTGAGTCTTGGTTGATGTAACAGAGCCACTGTGGAAAACTGGCATCCTAAACATCACCCTGTACGTGGGCCCACCAGAGCTGTGTCAGAACAGAGGCCGTAGCAAGGCCCTCAAGACACAGGCGGGGCTGTGACTGCACAGAAGTTGTGAAAGAGCAACCGCACCCCAAGAGAACAAGACTCTCTCCTGTGTGACGGGGCAGCTTGTGGAGCCGTGGGAAGTTGCCAGGAGACAGAACGAAGAAAAGCAGGTGCTGGAAGGGGACGCATGCGCTAGACCAGAGCTACTCAACTTTGGAGTCCCCGGGGGCCACAGTGACTCTTGGCACATGCCGAGGGCAGCTACGTAAGTGTGGTTGCCAAATATATGCAAATATATGCAAATAGCTTCTTTCACACGGACAGGCATGAATACAAAGATTAAGGCAAAACTACACAAGACACGGGCCCCATTTAAGTCAGTTCTGCTGCTATTACTAAAATGCAATATTGACCCCATTTCCACCCACAGGGCAGCACTTTTAATGAGCAGTGACAGTCCAGGAATTTAACTACTAAAACGCCCATCGACAGAAGAGCATTGTATCGACTTGCGATTACAGAGCGTGTTCCCAGCGGGGGCCACGTTCAAAGGATCCCACCCGCGGGCCACGTGCTGAGTCTGCGTAAACCCAAACCGCACCATGGGCCGCAAGCAGACAGGCCGTGGGCCACGTGCAGCCCACACGCCACGTGTTGAGTAGCCCTGCGCTAGGGAGACCCACAGGGACCTTTGGGAAGGAGCGAGGAAGGTCACAGGAGCCGAGGACAAAGCCACCCAGCCCAGATCAGCTGCAAGAGCCGCCTGACACTCCCCCAAGGGAAGGGCACACTTTTGAGGGGCACTGCGGCTGGACTATGTGTGGGAGCCGCACTCCCTTGTGCTGGGTGCGATTATGTGGAAGCGCAACGATGGGTTAGTCTGAGCAACGTGTCTCGTGCGTGCGCCGTGCGCCACCCCGCCAGGCTGTCCCTGAGCTCAAGCCGTGAGCTACCTTGATCCGGGAGCCGTCGCTGGGGATCAGGTAGAGGTGGAGGGTCAGATTCACTCTCTTCTGTGCCTGGTAGAGCAGCACCAGGGAATGGATCAGAGACTTCTTCTTCTTCATCGTCTTAATCTTCCTCCAAATCACCCCGATGGGCGAGAAGCGGGGGTTCTGCAGCACGGCGTCGAACGGCCTCACCCACGTGGGACTCTGCAGGGTCATCCCCTCCTCAAGGAAATGAGCGATCTGCACCCGGGACCTGTCAGCCCCTGTCGGAGGGTCACAACGCAAACGAGGCTCTGTTAGCCTCCGCTTGTTCACTTGCGGCCAGAGAGGCAGCGAGTCCACCTGAGCTCGGGGAACACCCTTCCCTGCAGCTTGGGGGGCAAGAGCCAGACTGGGGGGAGAGGATGTCAAACAACGAGCCGGCCACCATCCACTTCCCCTCCAGCAGGGTGAGCTCAGGCGCCTGCGAGAGGTGGTGGAAGATCAGGGATCAGATGGAGATCGGGGAGTGGGGGAAGGAGGGCGACAGACTAGTCTGGCCGGGGAAGGATCCTGGAGCTGGGATGAGTAGCTGGAGGGGGCGGGAACTTAGAACTGGACCAGGGACAGGCTGGGAGGGACGGAGCAGAAGCATCAGTGACCACAAGCCAACACCCCCTCCAGAGCCTGGCATGGAACCAACATTCCCGATTGTCAGCACTTCTCTGCTGCCAGCACGTCGCTGTGAAACCCACCGGTAAGTGTCCCCGCCCCCATCCCACGCTAGAGGCTGATGCTCATGGAAGACGACAATTTACTGTTGCCAACAATTACTTAAGGGCTGAATTACCACTGCGCTGGCAGCCTTACATCTGGCATTTCCTGACTTCCGCGTATTCGACTTTGCAACCTTACCATTCTCCTAGAGCACAGGCATTATGAGAATACGTGTCATTACTCTAATCTTTAAGGGCGGGATGATGACTCTTGGGCACTGTTCACTGGGCCATGCTGCTCTAACGTTACAATGAAGATCACCCTTACTGCCAATCCCATTGCAATGGGGACACAGGTCACATGGCCAGGCTGAGTCCGACTGTACCTCTGAGACACAGGAAGTGCTCCCCCAGCCTCTGCCGGTTCCACCCGGATGTCAAACAAAGGGCCGGCCACCATCCACTTCCTCTCCAGCGATTCCGTCAGGTGCTGTATCCATATTGGACGGTCACGGCTGCCCTCACCTCGAACTTCAGTTCGGTTTCAGGGCAACGGAACCAGCCTGGCTGAGAGAAATGAACCCTGCGCGTGGGGGAGACAAGAGCAGAGGAGATCGTTAAATAGATAATGACTTGCACCAAGGCCGCACAGACAGTCAGTGGCAGAGCCAGGGCTAGAAGCCAGAAGCCATGTCCCTCTGCAGCTTAGGCTAGAAGCCAGACGTCCCGATTCCCAGTCCCTCTGCTCCAACCTACTAGGCCTTTCTTCTCAGAGTCACTCAGAATTCAGAGTCCCTCATGCACCAGCCGGCAGGGTCTGTGGGGACACAGCCCTGCGTAACAGGTTAGCAAATTGCCCTGAAGCGTTTGCTCCAGCAAATTAGATGGGTCCATGCCACAGGTTCAGTCACAGAGACCCCCTGAGGTGCTGGAATTACCACTGTGCCTGTTTTCCCGGCCAGCCTGGGCCCCCAAGCACCCAGTCTTGTTGATCCAGCCACAGTGGCCTGCAGCAGCATAGAGCCGGGGACCCAGCCATGCGGAGAGAGCTGCGGCCCTTAACTGAAAACAGTGCAGCGAGATCCCTTTCTCCAGTCCCAATGGGATTTAAGAGAAATCCTTCTTACTCTGTAAAGAATATACGTGATCAGCTCCTAAGCGTTCACCCTCTAACAATACAAGAGAGATGCACCGCTGCTTGATCCTTCCACCCCCGCGTAACAATTATTTGCACTGGGCATATAAAATAAACACAAGTGATTATTATAAAAAGTAGGGGGAGAGCGGTTTTAAGGAATAACAGACAGAACAAGGGAAGCTACTAAGCAAAATAAAACAAAAAACCCCACCAGCTAAGCGCAGTACACTCAGGAAATTTATTACCAATAATAATTTCTCACCCTAGACCTGGAGCTCATTTCAGGTAAAGTTTCCCTCAGGCCAGAGATGTCCTTTCTGAGCTGGGTCCAGCCACCCCCATTACTGCACTGCTTTTCTTTACAGGTTACCCTTTGGGGGACGGGAGACCGTCCGTAAGGCCAGCCAAAGACTCTATTGTTTACCTTCCTGCCTTATATAGAATTTCCCTGAGGCGGGAAACCTTTGTTTGGCTCCCCCCACCTCCTTGTGAAGAAGGTACCAACGTTCAAGCTAGGTTGCGGTGTCAGATGATATGGTCCCAGGCCCTTGCAAAGCCCCTGCCTCCCGTACGTTAAGGGCTGAACCATACGTCCACGGAAAGATGTATTGTCTGCTAACGGGCCATGAAGCCCCATCTGGCTTCCCCGACGAAGACCCTGAAGTGGAAGCAGGGGGAATGACCGAAAGCCTTGAATATAAAATACAGATCCACAAGGCCACATTCCTAGCTTCCGCTACAAAGAACGGATGCCTGCAGCTGTAACCCACACTCTGACCGGGGCACTTAGCTAAGGCTGTAGGGCTCACCCATTCTCCTCTCCCTGTAAGCGGGCCGAGAGCCAGCTGCTTTTATAGCTCAAGCTGTCGAGGCTCCTGCACTGGGTCCCAGGCTTGGTTCTGCCTGTCGGGGGTTACACACGCCCGTAGGATAATCATATCCAGCTAATGAGACCTGTCGGGGGACATGCTCAATGCGGCGTTTCACCAAAATCATATTCCAGCGAGGTCATTTGCAGTCAAATATATTTCCATAAAGAACGGAGAGCAACAGCCCCGTCTGCGCCAGCGAAGGAGTGATCTGCGCTACCCCACACCTAATAGCGTGTTGCTCTGATTGTTGCATGGGTTATATTGACTGCACCCCATCTTTACAGGCCCTTGTGCGCTCGGAGATAGTGTCAGACCTGCGCTCCAGGTTCCAGACAGCTGCCAGTGGCAACACACACCCTCTCAGCCCCAGCTCTCACCTGTACATCTCCTGGTCCCCCTCTGGCTCCTGGATACTCTCTGGTTTTACTTCTACTGCAAGATCCTAAAACACAGGGACAGGCGTTAACTCGGCCCTGGTTGGCATTTCCCCTGGATTTTAATGGGTTGGCTGGACCCCTCTGGTTCAGATTTACACCAGCTTGCTGCTCAGCTGGCCTCTTCCAGATGCACTAAAACTTGCAGGGCTGTTCGGTGGAACGTGCCTTGCGGGAGGGGCTGGGTAAGATTCATGATCCAAACGTTGGGGCTAATTGATCATTGCATCCGTGGGACACCACCCCCTCTGGCTGGTTTTCCTAAAGCTCAAGCAATGTAGCCATGGATTTCCCACCCCTACTGCTCAGAGTTTAAATCAGAGTGAGGAGCATTGCACAAGGGTCTTCATCATTTGAGAGTCCCCCTTCCAAGTGCAGGAACCCAGAGACCCTCCGGGGAGTGTGACCGATGCTGGGAGTCCATAGGTGAGCCTGCCCTCTGACCAGGGGACTAGTAACACCCTGCCCCCCCCCCCAACACACTTTAACATGGGTGTAGTAGCCTTGGGCAGGTCTGTCAGGGACTATGCTTCATGGTGGGGCAGCTGATAAGGTAAACAGCTCTCCCGGTGCAAAGCACACCTCTGCCAGTGGCCCCAACTTCTTCCCATGGGGGAGGTGAGGTGGGGCCCCCCCCTATATTGCACAAAGGGGTCAGAAGGTTGCCAAGCTGAAGGAGATTTTTGATGGCCACCATGCCCAGTCTGAGGGAACTATCTCAGGGCCTCGACCCAGTTTGGACAGCTGCAGTTTCCACAGGGGTGGGAGGGCTGCCGATTGTGCTGAGGGCTGTCTGTGTGGGATAGGAGGCCTCTTCTGTCTGTGTGGCAGGCCCTCGTGTCTTCGCAAGGGGAGACAGGTAGAAGGTCGGGGTCTCAGGACAGGTGCTGTTTACCTGGTCTTCTCTAGTGGTGTGTAAGGGCCAAGTGACCGCTCCTGAAGCTTTTAGGGAGCGCAAGCGTTCAGTCTGCTCAGCAAATACAGGTTTGGAGCCTGCATGTCGGAGGTCGTCGCTGTGGCCTGCCCTTCCCTCAGGAATCCCAAAAGACGCAGTTCATAAGCCCATCCCATGACGGCCGCTGTTATTGAACAGCCTGCTGCGTCACCTGTGTCTAAGGAGGTGTGAAGTGCTGTCCACACCGGTTGCTGGCTCTCCGCGAGGATTGCCTAGAACTGTTCTTTTGGGTCTTCCAGCATGTGATCAATGCATTTATTTACTTTGGAAATGCGTTTGTGGCAATACTGGGATTTAAGTGCCTCTTATTTGTTCAACTCTAAATGGTAGAGTGGTTGATAAGTATGCCTGTCACAGGGCTAGGTCCTGCGGCCAAATGGGCCATAGAGAAGTCCTCCAGCTGCCTAGAATGGCTAGGAAGAAACCAGCCAATCAGGGGCCAGGAAGGATTACATAAGAAGTTGCAGGACTAGCAGCAGCTCAGTTGCAGCCCAGACCTGGAAGGAAGAAGGTCGAGGTGACGGACAGAACCAAGCACCGCTCGGCGTGGGGAGCGGTTAGAACGCTATCGCCAGGAGGAGAAGCCATGGAGGCACCACTCTTCTACTGAGTGGGACACAGACTGAGAGAACAGACTGAATTGAGAGTACAGGGGGCACCGGGTTGGGCCCCTGGTAAAGTAAATACCCCGGCAGGGCTGTGATTCGCCAAGAGCGACTCGGCCAGAGGGCTGAGTTGCCAAAGAGGCTTTCGGCATCAAACTGAGCGTGTGCAGGAACCCGCACTTGGCCGGCAGGGACACGGGTGAGGTGCGTGCTGCCCCATTACAATGCCTTACCCCCAGACCTAGCCTCGCTAGTGGGGGATCATTCGGAAGTCGTGCTCTCTCCCGGTTTCTTGGCATGCCGAACGGGCACATGCTATTTCGGGGCAGCCTGAATTCTGCGTTCATGAAGTTTTCAGTCAATGAAGCAGGAACCCGCACTTGGCCGGCAGGGACACGGGTGAGGTGCGTGCTGCCCCATTACAATGCCTTACCCCCAGACCTAGCCTCGCTAGTGGGGGATCATTCGGAAGTCGTGCTCTCTCCCGGTTTCTTGGCATGCCGAACGGGCACATGCTATTTCGGGGCAGCCTGAATTCTGCGTTCATGAAGTTTTCAGTCAATGAATGGCGCTGTGAGGAAAGAACTCAGGCAGCGCAACGGGTCAGCAGGGGG